ATGTTGACCGTTGTTCCTGTTGCTCTGGTAGTGCCCGGTGCTGCCTGGTACCCTTGGTGTTCCATCACCAGGGCCACAGATACCAGGACACTGGTATCACTGGGCCTACCTGATACAAGCAACTCACTAAAGAACCTTTAAACGCCGCCACCACCACATCACAAATGCTTTCAACGTAATTAATCTAAAATGACTGGGAGAAAAACTAATCTAATAGTTCCCAGATACTAGAAGTGTGTGTGTCCCTAATTCTCAAGAGAGAGGAATGGAGAAGTGACTTTACCCGCGTCTTAACTCCAACAAGAGTGGATATAATAAGATGTTAAAACTTGCGGACACTCTGAGTCTACAACACAAAATACAAAGGATCGTGAACTCAGAATAATAAAATATATAACAGGAAAAACAATGACTAAACACCATAAAAGATAAACACAGCGTTGCAAGTAATAAAACGTCATTTTCTGGGTGAGACCCGGAGGCTCTCCGGAGCTATCCGGCTGGTGTGCTAATGTCACACTTTGGCATCAGTCATGCGTCACTTAAGTCACTTAAGGCCTACCGGGGACCACGGCCAGAACCTGGACCCCTCAGAGAGGCACGAGGAGCAATGGCCTATAGAATCCCCCGTGTGGTTGGTAGCATTCTGTGTCTGCCATTGACCGGGTCAACAACCCAGAGAAGTAAGCGTCCCAAAGCAAACCCTTTTTCTGGTTGAAACAACTGACAGTCAAACTAGTGGACAGAACTACCCAATCAAACGAGCAAACGAGCATGACGTCATCACACAGCTTGTTTGCGCAGCTCCCCCCCTCCCAGGGAAGGGAAAGGGGGGAGCCCCAGACCCCCCTCCCAGGGAAGGGAAAGGGGGGAGCCCCAGACCCCCCCTCTCAGGGAAGGGAAAGGGGGGAGCCCCAGACCCCCCTCCCAGGGAAAGGAAAGGGGGAGCCCAGACCCCCCCTCCCAGGGAAGGGTAAGGGGGAGCCCAGACCCCCCCTCCCAGGGAAGGGTAAGGGGGAGCCCAGACCCCCCCCTCCCAGGGAAGGGTAAGGGGGAGCCCAGACCCCCCCTCCCAGGGAAAGGAAAGGGGGAGCCCAGACCCCCCCTCCCAGGGAAGGGTAAGGGGGAGCCCAGACCCCCCCTCCCAGGGAAGGGTAAGAGGGAGCCCAGACCCCCCCCTCCCAGGGAAGGGTAAGGGGGAGCCCAGACCCCCCCTCCCAGGGAAGGGTAAGGGGGAGCCCAGACCCCCCCTCCCAGGGAAGGGTAAGGGGGAGCCCAGACCCCCCCTCCCAGGGAAGGGTAAGGGGGAGCCCAGACCCCCCTCCCAGGGAAGGGTAAGGGGGAGCCCCAGACCCCCCCTCCCAGGGAAGGGTAAGGGGGAGCCCCAGACCCCCCCTCCCAGGGAAGGGTAAGGGGGAGCCCCAGATCCCCCCTCCCAGGGAAGGGTAAGGGGGAGCCCCAGACCCCCCCTCCCAGGGAAGGGTAAGGGGGAGCCCAGACCCCCCCTCCCAGGGAAGGGAAAGGGGGAGCCCAGACCCCCCTCCCAGGGAAGGGAAAGGGGGAGCCCCAGACCCCCCTCCCAGGGAAGGGAAAGGGGGAGCCCCAGACCCCCCTCCCAGGGAAGGGAAAGGGGGAGCCCCTTTCAAACTGCAGGAGCTCCCTGCAGGAGCCGTGCAGGGAGGCAAACAGAGAGGCAGGAGCCGTGCAGGGAGCCACACAGTGAGGCAGGAGCCGTGCAGGGAGGCAGAGAGTGAGGCAGGAGCCGTGCAGGGAGCCACACAGTGAGGCAGGAGCCGTGCAGGGAGGCAGAGAGTGAGGCAGGAGCCGTGCAGGGAGCCACACAGTGAGGCAGGAGCCGTGCAGAGAGGCAGAGAGTGAGGCAGGAGCCGTGCAGGGAGGCACACAGAGAGGCAGGAGCCATGCAGGGAGCCACACAGTGAGGCAGGAGCCGTGCAGGGAGGCACACAGAGAGGCAGGAGCCATGCAGGGAGCCACACAGTGAGGCTGAAGCCGTGCAGGGAGGCACAGAGAGAGGCAGGAGCCGTGCAGGAAGCCACACAGGGAGGCAGGAGCCGTGCAGGTAGGCACACAGAGGCAGGAGCCGTGCAGGGAGGCACACAGAGAGGCAGGAGCCATGCACGTACCCACACAGGGAGGCAGGAGCCGTGCAGAGAGCCACACAGTGAGGCAGGAGCCGTGCAGGGAGGCACACAGTGAGGTAGGAGCCGTGCAGGGAGGCTCACAGAGAGGCAGGAGCCTTGCAGGGAGCCACACAGGGAGGCAGGAGCCGTGCAGGGAGGCACACAGTGAGGCAGGAGCCGTGCAGGGAGGCACACAGTGAGGCAGGGACACTAACCAATATCTTGTTACACTGGAGGGCGGAGACGTTAGTGAACACGGAGGATGTGACGTTCATCACAATATTGAGCATCGTCTGGAAGGACGCCGTCGCCTCCGGGGACTCTGTAAGGTGAAGCACTACTGTGTATACACCAGCCTCAGCTACTGACACGACCAGCACTATGTTGCTCTCCTTAGTGAGCACTGTGAAGCACTAGTAGAGGGAGCACTGTGAAGCACTAGTAGAGGGAGCACTGTGAAGCACTAGTAGAGGGACCATTATGAAGCACTAGTAGAGGGACCATTATGAAGCACTAGTAGAGGGACCATTATGAAGCACTAGTAGAGGGAGCACTGTGAAGCACTAGTAGATGGAGCACTGTGAAGCACTAGTAGAGGGAGCACTGTGAAGCACTAGTAGAGGGAGCACTGTGAAGCACTAGTAGAGGGAGCACTGTGAAGCACTAGTAGATGGAGCACTGTGAAGCACTAGTAGAGGGAGCACTGTGAAGCACTAGTAGAGGGAGCACTGTGAAGCACTAATACAGGGAGCACTGTGAAGCACTAGTACAGGGAGCACTGTGAAGCACTAGTACAGGGAGCACTGTGAAGCACTAGTACAGGGAGTACTGTGAAGCACTAGTACAGGGAGCACTGTGAAGCACTAGTAGAGGGACCATTATGAAGCACTAGTAGAGGGACCATTATGAAGCACTAGTAGAGGGACCATTATGAAGCACTAGTAGAGGGAGCACTGTGAAGCACTAGTAGATGGAGCACTGTGAAGCACTAGTAGAGGGAGCACTGTGAAGCACTAGTAGAGGGAGCACTGTGAAGCACTAGTAGAGGGAGCACTGTGAAGCACTAGTAGAGGGACCATTATGAAGCACTAGTAGAGGGACCATTATGAAGCACTAGTAGAGGGACCATTATGAAGCACTAGTAGAGGGAGCACTGTGAAGCACTAGTAGATGGAGCACTGTGAAGCACTAGTAGAGGGAGCACTGTGAAGCACTAGTAGAGGGAGCACTGTGAAGCACTAGTAGAGGGAGCACTGTGAAGCACTAATACAGGGAACACTGTGAAGCACTAGTACAGGGAGCACTGTGAAGCACTAGTACAGGGAGCACTGTGAAGCACTAGTACAGGGAGTACTGTGAAGCACTAGTAGAGGGAGAGCATCATGAGGGAGATATACTCACGGGTGGGGCTGGCAGCAGTCGTGAGGGAGATATACTCACGGGTGGGGCTGGCAGCTGTCGTGAGGGAGATATACTCACGGGTGGGGCTGGCAGCTGTCGTGAGGGAGATATACTCACGGGTGGGGCTGGCAGCTGTCGTGAGGGAGATATACTCACGGGTGGGGCTGGCAGCTGTCGTGAGGGAGATATACTCACGGGTGGGGCTGGCAGCAGTCGTAGAGGAGCCATCAGACGAGGCTGCCAGAGTGTTCTTAGTGTTCTGGTCATTGATGATGTTGTTGAGTCCGTTGATGAGTGTGGCGGCCGTCTCCGGGTCCTTCATGTTGGCCTGAGACACTTGAGCTTGGAAGTCCGCCGGGGTGCTGGAGGCGAACTGTGCGGCTGTGGTGGAGGAGGAGGCGGCTCAGTCTTCAAGTAAGACCTTCACACAATATACTGGATAACGTTAATACTCTTTAAGAAATGATAAGAGGAACACCAGGCTTATGAATCTTAGGTGGACCGTAGAAATAAGGAAGAGGTAAACAAATGACACGAAAGTGTTTATAAGATCGAAGTCAAGAGGACAAAGACTGGAAAGCTGTCTTAGTTTGTGGTTGAAGGAAGTTTTAAGACGACCCAAGGAGTTGTTTGTCAGGGGAGCATATGTGTTGGGGTCAGAGAGCAAGACAGCTGCCTTGACCGTGAGGTAGTCCTCACGGTCAAGGACAACCACCGAATTGCATTTGTCGGAAGGAAGGATAAGAATAGAGTTGTTATCTTTCAGGGAGGCAAGGGCAAGCTGGAAGCGACGAGGAAGGTGGTGATTTGTAGAAAACCCGCCACGGGTGGGGATAAGGCCCCCCCCCCTGAAGACAGACAGCTCCGAAAGAGTATTAGAGTTAGACTTCATAAACTTCATCACAGGAACCACTGAGATCAATGCCACAACGAAGGACAGGTGAAACAGCAAAACAGAGATTCTACCAGTCTCTAAGCGCCAGCAAGAACTGTTTCTTGCTGGCGCTTAGAGACTGGTAGAAGGTTGGTAATACACTCTGGGTGTTCACCAGACTTACCGTAACCACCCATAAAGTAGAGAGTCTCCGTGTCGTTGAGCTCTTTGGTCCAGGTGGCGAGTTCGTCGACCTGAGCGTTGAGGAAGTTCCTGTAGGTGGTGTCGTCCGCGTCCGTGTGACACCCGACCATCATCTTGGGCGGAGAGAGCGCGTTCTTGGCCGTGGCTGACGAAGGCATCCTCCTCTGCGCCTGCTTCTTCTGCATCACAAACAGCTGCCGGATGCATCACAGTAAGAGCAGGCGCCGGGTGCAGGTTATATAGCTCAGCGTCCCAACACTCAAGTCTCCACACAACATTCACCAGTCAATACGGACCAAAAAGGTCAACAATTTCACATTTCCAGTTAATGTTGTCGATGGACATGATTAGCATATACAATAATATATTTATAAATAAAGAAAATAATCAAACAAGGTCACGGTGGTGTTACTCTGTGGTCACGGTGGTGTTACTCTGCGTCCTGTGGTCACGGTGGTGTTACTCTGTGGTCACGGTGGTGTTACTCTGCATCCTGTGGTCACGGTGGTGTTACTCTGCGTCCTGTGGTCACGGTGGTGTTACTCTGTGGTCACGGTGGTGTTACTCTGCGTCCTGTGGTCACGGTGGTGTTACTCTGCGTCCTGTGGTCACGGTGGTGTTACTCTGCGTCCTGTGGTCACGGTGGTGTTACTCTGCGTCCTGTGGTCACGGTGGTGTTACTCTGTGGTCACGGTGGTGTTACTCTGTGGTCACAGTGGTGTTACTCTGCGTCCTGTGGTCACGGTGGTGTTACTCTGCGTCCTGTGGTCACGGTGGTGTTACTCTGCGTCCTGTGGTCACTGGTGTTATTTTGTGCTCACGGTGGTGTTAGTCAGTGGTCACGGTGGTGTTAGTGTCTTCTAAAAATTATAAATGGTCTGAAAGTTGGGGTGGTGGAGTGTGACTCACCAGTGGATATAATGGTCTGAAAGTTGGGGTGGTGGAGTGTGACTCACCAGTGGATACAATGGTCTGAAAGTTGGGGTGGTGGAGTGTGACTCACCAGTGGATACAATGGTCTGAAAGTTGGGGTGGTGGAGTGTGACTCACCAGTGGATACAATGGTCTGAAAGTTGGGGTGGTGGAGTGTGACTCACCAGTGGATACAATGGTCTGTAAGTTGGGGTGGTGGAGTGTGACTCACCAGTGGATACAATGGTCTGAAAGTTGGGGTGTTTGAGTGTGACTCACCAGTGGATACAATGGTCTGAAAGTTGGGGTGGTGGAGTGTGACTCACCAGTGGATACAATGGTCTGAAAGTCGGGGGTGGTGGAGTGTGACTCACCAGTGGATACAATGGTCTGAAAGTTGGGGTGGTGGAGTGTGACTCACCAGTGGATACAATGGTCTGAAAGTTGGGGTGGTGGAGTGTGACTCACCAGTGGATACAATGGTCTGAAAGTCGGGGGTGGTGGAGTGTGACTCACCAGTGGATACAATGGTCTGAAAGTTGGGGTGGTGGAGTGTGACTCACCAGTGGATACAATGGTCTGAAAGTTGGGGTGTTTGGAGTGTGACTCACCAGTGGATACAATGGTCTGAAAGTTGGGGTGGTGGAGTGTGACTCACCAGTGGATACAATGGTCTGAAAGTTGGGGTGGTGGAGTGTGACTCACCAGTGGATACAATGGTCTGAAAGTTGGGGTGGTGGAGTGTGACTCACCAGTGGATACAATGGTCTGAAAGTTGGGGTGGTGGAGTGTGACTCACCAGTGGATACAATGGTCTGAAAGTTGGGGTGGTGGAGTGTGACTCACCAGTGGATACAATGGTCTGAAAGTTGGGGTGGTGGAGTGTGACTCACCAGTGGATACAATGGTCTGAAAGTCGGGGTGGTGGAGTGTGACTCACCAGTGGATACAATGGTCTGAAAGTCGGGGTGGTGGAGTGTGACTCACCAGTGGATACAATGGTCTGAAAGTCAGTGGGGTGGTGGAGTGTGACTCACCAGTGGATACAATGGTCTGAAAGTTGGGGTGTTTGGAGTGTGACTCACCAGTGGATACAATGGTCTGAAAGTCGGGGTGGTGGAGTGTGACTCACCAGTGGATACAATGGTCTGAAAGTTGGGGTGGTGGAGTGTGACTCACCAGTGGATACAATGGTCTGAAAGTCGGGGTGGTGGAGTGTGACTCACCAGTGGATACAATGGTCTGTAAGTTGGGGTGGTGGAGTGTGACTCACCAGTGGATACAATGGTCTGAAAGTTGGGGTGGTGGAGTGTGACTCACCAGTGGATACAATGGTCTGAAAGTTGGGGTGGTGGAGTGTGACTCACCAGTGGATACAATGGTCTGAAAGTTGGGGTGGTGGAGTGTGACTCACCAGTGGATACAATGGTCTGAAAGTCGGGGTGGTGGAGTGTGACTCACCAGTGGATACAATGGTCTGAAAGTCGGGGTGGTGGAGTGTGACTCACCAGTGGATACAATGGTCTGAAAGTTGGGGTGGTGGAGTGTGACTCACCAGTGGATACAATGGTCTGAAAGTTGGGGTGGTGGAGTGTGACTCACCAGTGGATACAATGGTCTGAAAGTTGGGGTGGTGGAGTGTGACTCACCAGTGGATACAATGGTCTGAAAGTCGGGGTGGTGGAGTGTGACTCACCAGTGGATACAATGGTCTGAAAGTTGGGGTGGTGGAGTGTGACTCACCAGTGGATACAATGGTCTGAAAGTTGGGGTGGTGGAGTGTGACTCACCAGTGGATACAATGGTCTGAAAGTTGGACACATCTACAGTTGTTTGGTTGATGCTCGAGTAGTAACTGTCTGTGATGTTCACCTTGACCCACACACTCAGACTGAAGCCCAGGGGACAGTTGGCGGGGTTGGCAGAGCAGTTGTCGAACGCCTTGTTGTACACCTCCTGCACCATGCACTGTAAGGGAAGGAGGGACGTTATACACGCAACCAAATCACATTATTAACCTGAAGTGTTCATGAGAAAATCAGTAGGAGCCGTTGTAACAATAGAGCAGTACATAGAACAATATAGTTGGCCAGTATAACAGCCACAGCAGAACAGGCAGAATACCGAGACTTATGACCAATAGAACAGGGATAAAATTTCAAGTAAGGGACCGACTAAACAAAGCCAAAGCAGCCTTAGGAAAACTGAGATTCCAAAGTACTGAGTACAAGCCTGAGTACTCTTCTGTTTTCCAGGGTTGTGAGGTTCAGCTCCCTTAGCCTTTAGCTCATTCCTCTCAGTTCCGGGACCAGTCTGGTGGCATACCTCTGAATCTTCTCTAACTTCGTCTTGTGTTTAACTCGATATGGACTCCAGTTTGGAGCTGCATACTCCAGGATTGGTCTTACATAAGTGGTATACAGGGTCCTGAACGATTCCTTACACAAGTTTCTAAAGGCAGTTCTTATATTGGCCAGTCTAGCATATGCCGCTGATGATATCCTTTCGATGTGGGCCTTTGGGGACAGGTTCGATGTGATATCGACCCCCAGATCTTTCTCTCTATTTGACTCTTGCAGGATTTCACCTCCCAGATGGTACCTCGTGTTCAGCCTTCTGCTCCCTTCGCCTAATTTCATCACCTTACACTTTCCTGAGTTGAACTTTAGCGCCATTTTCTAGATCATTTTTCTAGATCATCATCCAGTTTGTCCAGATCGTCCTGTATTCTCTGTCTATCTTCATCTGTTTTGATTCTTCACATAATAGTTGCATCATCAGCAAACATTGAGAGGAATGAGTCTATACCCTCCGGAAGGTCGTTTACATATACTAGAAACAGGATGGGTCCAAGTACAAAGCCCTGTGGAACCCCGCTGGTGACATTTCGCCACTGATGATTTCCCCCTCACCGTTACTCGCTGTTTCCTATTGCTTAGATACTCCCTTATCCACTGGAGCACCTTCCCTTTTACTCCTGCCTGTTGCTCCAACTTTTGTAACAGCCTTTTGTGAGGTACTGTGTCAAAGGCTTTCTGACAGTCCAAGAAAATGCAGTCTGCCCACCCTTCTCTTTCTTGCCTAATTTGTGTTGCGTGGTCATAGAATTCTATTAGGCCTGTGAGGCACGATTTACCATCTCTGAACCCATGTTGGTGGTGTGTTACAAAGCTGTTTCCCTCCAGATGCTCTACGAGCCTTTTCCTCACAATCTTCTCCATCACCTTGCATGGTATACAAGTTAGGGAAACTGGCCCTTAGTGCCTCTGCCTGTCACCCATTCAGTGCCTCTTGCCTGTCACCCATTTTTTGTAAATTGGGACTACATTAGCTGTCTTCCAGCTTTCTGGAAGGTTTCCCGTTTCCAGTGACCTGTTATACACCATAGAGAGTGGCACACTTAGTGCTTCTGCACCTTCTTTTAGAATCCATGGTGAGATTCTGTCAGGCCCAACAGCCTTCGACACATTCAGCTCCAACAGATTCCTTTTGACCTCATCTCTGGTGAGGTAAAATTCCTCCAAGGTTGTTCGGTTTCCTCCTCATTTAGTGCAGGGACCTCTCCTTGTTCTATTGTGAAGACCTCCTGGAATCTCTTGTTGAGTTTTTCTCACACCTCTTTGTCGTTCTCTGTGTATCTGTTCTCCCCTTTTCTCAGTTTCATCACTTGTTCCTTCACTGCTGTTTTCCTCCTGATGTAGCTGTGGAGCAGTTTTGGTTGGGTCTTAGCTTTACTCGCGATGTCATTTTCATACTGCCTCTCTGCTTCTCTCCTCACTCTGATGTACTCATTTCTGGCCCTCAGTTATCTCTCCCTGCTCTCTGGTGTTCTGTTATTCCTGTAGTTTCGCCATGTTCTTTTACTCAATTGCTTCGCTGCCGCACATTCCTGGTTGAACCACGGATTCTTCTGTTGCTTTTCATTTTTCACTTTTTGGACTGGGATAAACCTGTCTGCAGCCTCCTGACACTTCTGAGTGACATAATCCATCATATCCTGTACAGTCTTTTCTCTGAGTTCTGTTTCCTATGGTATTCCCATTAGGAAGTTCTTCATCTCGTCATATTTTCCTCTTCGGTAATTTAGTCTTTTTCCTTCCAATCCCATCCTTGGATAGGTTATCCCTACTTCTTCCAGATACTCAAATATCAACGTACTGTGGTCACTCATTCCTATGGGAGCTTCATATTTGACTTCCCTTATTTCTGAGTCATTTAAGGTGAAAATCAGGTCGAGTCCAGCTGGTTCGCCATTTCCTCTCATTCTTGTGGGCCCCTTGACATGATGGCTCAGAAAGTTCCTTGTACTCACTTCCAAAAGTTTAGATCTCCATGTGTCTTCACCTCCATGTGGGTCCTCATTCTCCCAGTCTATCTTTCCATGGTTGAAATCGCCCACGATTAAGAGTCTGGATCCATTCCTGCAGGCAACTGAAGCTGCTCTCCCTATTATATTAATGGGAGCCATGTTGTTTCTGTCGAACTCTTGTCTGGGTCTTCTGTCATTTAATGGAGGGTTGTAAATGACTGCCACTATTATCTTAGGTCCACCCATTGTCATAGTTCCTGTTATGTAATCTCTGAATCCGTCGCAGCCCGGAATTTCCATCTCTTCAAAGCTCCAGTCCTTCCTTATCAGCAGAGCCACTCCTCCTCCCCCTCTCCCGTCTCTTTCTTTCCTTACTATATAAAAGTCCTTTGGAAACACAGCAATTGTTATGACTCCTGACAATTTTGTTTTTGTGAGTCCTATTACATCTGGGTTTTCTTCCTGCGCCCTTTCTGCCAGTTCACTTGCTTTGTTGTAATCCCATCGATGTTTGAGTACATTACCTGGAAGCTCACTTTCCTATGTCCATCTTCACCCACCCTCCCCACTAGTGCTGGAAGTTGTTCCGTGGGCATTGCTGCTTGTGTAGGCTCATCCTCCTGTGGGGTAGTTGCCAGGGGTTCTGAGGGAGGTGGGGATGGGGGGGGGGGAAGGAGGGGCAGGGGGAGGATGGCTTAGAACTGGGGTGGGGGATGGAGGATTTTGTTGTTGTTTGTGCATAGTTAATCGCCTAGAAAGAGACGTTGTTGACTTGCCTATATACTGAGTTCTTTGGGGCTTACAGTCCCCAAGCGGGCATGTGAAGGAATAGACGACGTTGGTTTCCTTCAGGGCGTTCTGTTTGGTGTGAGGGCAGTTTTTCATGAGTAGATTAGCGGTTTGTTTGTTTTTGTAGTAAATTTTCAGTTGTATTTTCTGATTTTTGTCTGTAGGGATAACGTTCCTATCAATAATATCTTTCAGGACCCTTTTCTCCGTTTTATGAGCCGTCGAAAAGAAGTTCCTGTAACACAATCTAATAGGGGGTACAGGTGTTGTATTAGTGGACTCTTCAGAGGTTGCATGGCGTTTCATCTTTCTTTTTATGATGTCTTCAACATAATCGTTAGAGAAGCCGTTGTTGACTAGAACCTGCTTTACCTTACAGAGTTCTTGATGGACATGCTTCCATCCTGAGCTGTGGTTGAAAGCCCCGTCGACGTAAGCGTTCACAACACTCCTCTTGTACCTGTCTGGACAGTCATTATTGGCATTGAGGCACATTCCTATGTTTGTTTCCTTAGTGTAGACTGCAGTGTGGAAGCCTCCGCTCCTTTCCGTGACTGTTACATCTAGAAAGGGCAGATTCCCATCATTCTCCATCTCGTAGGTGAAACTTAACACAGAATTCTGCTCGAATGACTCCTTCAGCTGCTGCAGACATCTGACATCAGGCACCTGAATAAAAATGTTTTCAACATACCTGTAGTATATGGCGGGTTTCAAGTCCATGTCAACTAAGACCCTCTGCTCGATGGTACCCAAGTAGAGGTTCGCAAACAGGACACCTAGGGGAGAACCCATGGCGACCCCGTATACTTGCTTATACATGTGCCCATCTGGACTCAAGTTGGGTGCCTCTTTAGTGCAAGCTTGGAGTAGCTTCCTTAGTATGTTTTCTGGTATGTCAAGAGGAGTACAAGCTGGATCACGATACACTCTGTCCACTATCATCCCGATTGTCTCATCCACAGGTACGTTGGTAAACAGTGACTCTACATCCAGCGAGGCTCTTATCCCTGTGGCCCGTGCTCCCCGCAGTAAGTCAACAAATTCCTTTAGAGACTTCAGGCTGAAAGCACAAGGTACATGAGGAGTCAGCAAGCAGTTGAGTCGCTTAACCAGTCTGTATGTGGGTATCTGGCTGATGATTGGCTGAAGTGGGTTTCCAGGCTTGTGGGTCTTGACATTCGCATATGCAAAACCAGGTTTGTATTCACCCAAATAATACAAACCTGGAAACCTACAGTTTCTGATATACTTTAGCTGCATTAACTCGGGAAATTAAATAAATCATAGAAAATATTATGCGTGCCGCAGCACGACAATTACTGGGACCGACTAAAGAGCCTAAATCTGTACTCCCTTGAGCACAGGCGGGAGAGATACATAATAATTTACACGTGGAAAATAATTGAGGGGCTGGTCCCAAACCTGCACACAGAAATAACATCACATGAGACCAGAAGGCATGGCAGGATGTGCAGAATACCCCCGTTGAAGAGCAGAGGTGCAACAGGTACTCTGAGAGAGAACTATCAACATCAGAGGCCCGAGACTGTTCAACACGCTTCCACTACACATAAGGGGCATAACTGGCCGACCCCTCACAGCACAGTGTTCAAGAGAGAACTGGATAAGCACCTCCAAAGGATACCTGATCAACCAGGCTGTGACTCATATGTCAGGCTGCGAGCAGCCGCGTCTAACAGCCTGGTTGATCAGTCCAGCAACCAGGAGACCTGGTCGACGACCGGGCCGCGGGGACGCTAAGCCCCGGAAGCACCTCAAGGTAAGGTAAGGTAACGACTGCGCATGTGCGAGCTACCCCGAGAAGGAGGAGAGACTGGCAAGCGACGCCATATTTAGGGAGTGTGTG